GCAGGAGGATCACTGTGAGTTCGAGACCAGCCTGGGCTACATAGTGAGTCCCAGGTCAGTCTCTACTACACAGTGAGACCCTGTCTCAAAAAACCAATAAGTAAATAAATAAGAATAAAATGCTGGGATTTCACAGGAATTCCAGCGGGCAATGTGGGTGACTTACCTCGAGCTCAGCTGCTAAGTGGCTACAGTCACAGTGTGAGCCTCCTAGCGTGGTGGAGACAAGATGAGTGGATGCATGTGCAGTTCTCAGAGCCGTGCCTGGCAGGAGCATTTGTATTTACTAGCAGGGTACTTAAATAAATGGCAGGTGATAGTACAAGAAAAGTGGCTTCCCCTTCTGCAGGCTTGGCATGGGAAAATTGCACACCAGGCACAGGCAGGGTGGACATCGGTTATTTGAACTGTGCTTGAGAGCACTCCGTGTGGAAGTCTGGGAAGGCTTCGTGGTGGAGGAGGCTACTGGAGGTGAAGTGGCCAAGGTAAGGGTGGGTGGCCTGTGAGATGCGGCCATGCTAGAGGGGATTCCTGGGTGGTGCCAACACCACATCTCCGATTTTCAGGGTTGGCTTCCACCTGGAAACATCCAGCTGAGTGCTCCCTTTGGTACCAGGGATCAAACTCGGGACCTTGGCTGAGCTAAATCCCCGGCCCTGAGGGTTCTCATTTTACAGACTCAGTAACAGGCTCTCGGAGAGGGTGAGCCGAGGTCTCAGGGTCCCTGATAACTCCGAGGCTCGGGATGTTCCCTGGCCCCAGTAAGTCCCCTGAGCACCCCTGACATTTGGGAACCCCCAGAAGAGGGGTGACTTGTCTTCTAGGAGCAGAAGAGGTGCCTCCCTCTTCGTTAGGTCCTCTGTCTGGGGTCCCTGAGAGCCTCTCCCAGGCATAGGACTCCCATTGTTCCAGCCCCCCTCTTGTACCCCAGACTGGCCAAACCGGTTCTGGGAAGGGGGGCGGGGAGCAGGCACGTCGAGACAGCCCGCCTGCATCCCGCGACGTGCCGGCCCCACACAATACCCCGGAGCTTTCGCCGCCCAGCTCAGGGGCCATGCTGACATCGCCCCCTGAGGACTTGGCTGCAGCCCCAGAGCCCCCAGGGCGGCCCGGAGCCCTGGACTGTGCCCGCAGCTGGACGGAGATCCCTGGCTGAGGTAGGGCCCCAGCATGTGCTCCTCCCCGCCAGGCGTCCCAGAGAGTCCTTTGTGCTGCCTACTTGGCTTGGTTCCGGCCCTCGGACTTGCAGCCTCCCTGGGCTCTGCGCACCACTTTGCCGGGACCCCTCTCTGGCTGGGACCTCCCCTTGACTTTGCCCTTCTAGGGGCAGAGGGGCTCTTCACCTCTGGGGAGCAGGGCAAGGGGAAAACAGCTGGGTGCAGGGCCTACGCGGCTTGGCGGGACCACAGCGGCATCCAGGATGCTCTCTGCCAGCCCTGCCAAGCAGGCCTCTGCCCCCTGTGGGGAGCAGTGCACACTGGACAGGACTCCTCTTGGCCTCTGCACGCTCTTCTGGGCCTGCAGACACTTGTATGATTCAGGATTCTTAAAGGGAAGCTTTCAGGGCCACTTTACAGATGGGGATCCCGAGGCCAGGGATGGGCTGGGATTTGCTGAAGGCCTCGCAGAACCGGTCAGTGTCAACTTGGGGCCTTTGGCCTTGGACAGAGTTTTCCTCTGGGTTCCAGAATGCCCCTTGGCTAATGGGCACCGCAATCTCTATCCTGTGATCACATCCCAGGCAGGTGACATCTCTGCTGCCAGTTCTCTTCCTGAGGTCTTCTCTGCCCCTACCTGATACCCAACACGGAGGTCGGGTGGGCCACTTCCCTGGAGCGCCACAGACTGGCATCCCAGCTGGATGGGCCGTTCCCATCGCCTGGGCCTGGGCCTGTGTGGAGACTGCCTCACCCCTGGCCTCTCCTGGGGACCTCCCTCCAGCTTGTGTCCTCAGAGCGCCCTCCTCCTCCCCTCTCCCACGTGCACCCAGCCTTCTCCCTGGAGGCCTAGACTGGGAGTGCGCCTCTGCCCAAGTGCTCAACGTTTTTCTAATGTATCCGTGTAAAGACAGGGGCCCCTCCCCACCCCCCCAGGGAATTCTGGAACCCAAGGGGAATCTCCCAGAACACAGAGGGTCAAGGCACATGTACACGCTTGCATACTTGTGCCCTCTGAAGTGGGACTTGTGTCTGAAGGATCTGATTCCAGGGGAGGAAGAGACCTGTTCAGAGGGCAGGCCCCCTGTACCCCCTTCCACATGCTCCTACAATATGTGTCTTTTTTCTCCAACTGGCTGATGGCTGAAGCCATCGCCCAGCTAGTGAGAAAGACTGATGATAATTGTACTCCAAGGAATGATTCTCAAGGACAAGACTCCCACTCTGAAGTTGGCCTTGAACTTGTGATCCTCCTGCCTCAGCCTTCTAAGTAGCTGGGATACAGGCTTGAGCCTAAAATGCTTTGCATGAACAAACTATCATTACTTCTCACCTTAGTGTTAAAAAGTTGGCACAAGTCTCCTATTTGCCCAGTGAAGAAACCAAGGCTCACGGAGGCACAGAGGCTAAAGGTCCAAGCTGGAGCCATCACCTTAGAAAAGCCAGGGGAGGAGGAGGCCAGCAGTCCACGGCTGGGTGGAGAAGAGACCCGGCTGTCTCCCCCAAGTCCTCTCTTTTGCTCTCCAGGGTTCTTGCAGGCCAGGAAGAACTGGGTCCCTGGGAATTGTAGCCACAAAGCTGCCAGCCATCGCCTGCTCAGGAAGTTTTCCTGGACTGGAGGGCTGAGGATGAGGCTGAGATGGGCCCAGCACCCGACTCCAGTGGTGCCTATGGCTTGGCTTTGGCCAGTCTGGATTGTAATTGCTTTTGTTTTTGGCTCTTCCACCAGACTGGCAACCCCAAAGGCCATGAATTGTTTGTCCACCAGTCCGGGTGTTTTCTGGGTTTCACATCTGTCTCTGAGTACGCAACTGTGAAATCTTCTGTGTCCCTGCATGTCTCAGCATATGTGGTTTTGCTGTTTTCAACTGTTTCAGGGTCTCAGTTTCTGAACTGCTGTCTAAATGGTCTCCATTTCTCCAGCTCTCCCTCTGCCTCCGTCTCCTGGGTCTCTGGGCCCTGCCAGGCTGGGCAGTGCCCTGAAGTCCAAGGGGGCCCTGGGGGTGTCCTCCTGCCCTGCCTGCCCACAGCGAGGCCAGACTCGGGTAGGCCCCCGCCCAACCCGCTGCCAGCTCCCTCCTCCTCCCCGCTAGCTCACCACAGGGCTCGATGAATCAAACTCTTTGTCTGGGTGGGATGTCCCCCAGCCAGCTGGGCAGAGAGAGGGCTTCCCCTGCGTAGACCAACAGCATCGGCAGCGCCTCGGAGGCAGGAGAGGTGAGGGGCAGGAGGATACTGCGGGGCAAAGGCTGTGGGACTGAGACCCCTGGGGTCATTACTAGCTGAGGCTCTGGCAGCTTCCTAGGGGTGAGGTTCTGCCCAGAAAGGACCCAATCAGCCTGGGTGGATCCAGGGTGAGAAGGTGGGTTGGGGGAAAGTCCCTCTCTCACTCCAAGCAGGGGGCTGGGCCACCTCCCAGCCCTTCCGTGGGCGGCCCGGCCTGATCTGGGTGGTGGCCCGCCTGCCGGTCTGTGACCCTCCCAGCCAGCTTGGCATGGGTGTGGGCATCACTCAGCACTGGAGGCCACAGCTCTCCGGGTATGGCGGGGGAGGTTGGGCAACACCAACGCCAGGACTTGTGGGCCTGTGTTTGTGTCTCAGGGTCACGGCAGTGGGAGAAAGTATAGGTGCATGTGCCTGTGTAGAATGGGTCAACGGATGTGTTAGGAGGGTGTGTGTCTGAGTGTATTTCAAAAAGCATAAGTGCTAAAAAGTGTCTACAAAAACATGCAAGCCTGATTTGAAAGTGTGTCTCTATGTGTACTGGAGAAAAATTGTGCAGACCGAGATGTAGATTTAAATGACAAGCCTGGCTCTCACTGACCAAATAACTACCTTCTCCCTGACTCTCCTCACCTGTAAAGTAGGGATAATGATAGCATCAGCATGTACATAGAGTCGCCGTGAGGATTACACGAGGGGATACGTGAGAACACCGGCTGTCATTTAGGCAGTGTGTGCATACTCCAGGCTGTGTCCAGGCCTCCCGGATGTGTAGCTTACTGGCCAGCACTGCCGTCCTGTGTCTGGGACTGATGTCTTCTCCCTTGCAGGCCCAGGCGGTGGCAGAGTAAAGGAGGAATGAACTGTGGGCCACCTGCGACCCTCCAGCCCCACCTGGCCGGCCCACCTGGCGCTGCTGCTCGCCCAGGAGCTGTGTGCCAGCAGGAGAGCCTGTCCTTTGTGGAGCTGCCTACCCTACAGCCTCTGAGTCCCTTGTGCCTGGATCTTTTCCCTGTTGCCCCCGAGGAGCTTCGGGCTCCTGGAAGCCGTTGGTCCCTGGGGACCCCTTCCCCTCTCCAAGGACTGCTATGGCCCCCATCCCCAGCAGGCTTAGATACGGAGATCTCCACCAGCGCAGGGATGCGGCCCAGCAGAGCTGGCAGCTGGCCTCACTGTCCTGGAGCCCAGCCCCCAGCTCTGGAGGGACCCTGGCGTTCCTCACACATGCAGCCGCAGCGCCGGGCCAGCCACGGCTCGGAGAAGAAGTCGGCCTGTGAGTCACCCTGGCGGGGGGTAGCTAGGGGAAGGGCTGGGTGGCTCTTTCTGAACCCTTTGAATGCCAGAGTTCCCCGAAAGTAAGGACAAGTGGTAGACTTTAGACATGAGGGAGCTGATGCTCAGGGAGGGTGCCATGTCCAGTGTTACACAGGAGGTCAGGCTCTCCTGGACATCCCGGTTCCTTTTCCTACCCCAGGCCCTGTGCTGTCTCCACCCCTCTTATTGATCCCATTTCCCTGGCGACTGGATCCCAGCAGAAACCCCAGCCTATCCCTGAGGCATGGGGTCTCCTGGGATGTCAGGAACGTGGGCAGCAGCAGAGAGCTCAGGAGAGACCCCAGTGGGACCAGCCTGTGCCCTCCCCCCACCGCAGGGCGCAAGATGCAGGTGTATCAGCATGAAGAGGGCCCTGGTGGCCCGGAGGCCCAGGCTGTCTTCCTGGAGCCCAGCCTGGTGGCGAAGGAGCCAGGCCTGCACACAGAGGAGCCCAGGCCGGTGGAGCTGTCTGGGACCCCCAGAGTGGGCCTCGAGGGTCCTGAGCGAAGGCGCTTCTCCGCCTCTGAGCTGATGACCCGGCTGCACTCTTCCCTGCGCCTGGGACGGAGCTCTACCACCAGGGCCCTGGCCTCTGGGGCAGGCACCGGAGCCTCCCCGGAAGGTACCAGCCATCCCTGGGACTCCAGAGCAGCCCGAGCCAGATGCCAGGTGGAGCGTGGCCCACTCAGGGGACACCTGGGCTGGGTGCTGCTCAGCTGCGTGCGGGGGCCCCATGCCCAGGGCTACTCCCCGGACGGGCCACACTCAGCTCTTGCCTTCTCTAGGCAAGGCATCCGGAAGGGAGTCTCGAAACGCGGAGATGAGGGTGGACAGTGCGGCCGGGATGGCACTTGTTGACCAGAGCGAGGGCCAGGGCGACTGGCCGGATCCCAGGTAACCAACCACCTTCCAGTCCCGGAGGGCTCCCAGGCAGGGTGCAGACAGACAAGGGCCCCACGCTCTTTCTTAGGCGGGATGCGCAGGAAGAGCTGCCTGCGGACCCTAAGGGCGACCACGAGCGGCGGCAATCACGATTCCTCCTAAACTGTAGGTGGACAGGGTCTCTGAGAAAGGGCCACGGTGGTAGTGGGGGACGGGGCGGGGTGTGGAAGCGGGAAACCTGGTTTTGGGAAACTGGGAGGTGGCGATCTGTGAGACGGGAGAACGGAACTCTGTGTCTTGCTCCGGGCTTGTGCTCAGTGTGGAGCGAATGAATGAATTCCCTGCGACCGGATGTGGGACACGGCCAGGCTTCCTGGGACCGGCTCTGGG